TCAGAACAAACGATTGTGATGCTCTCTGCCCTATTAGCGTAGATACAGCCCTGAGTGAAAAGCAGCAGTCCGCCATTACTGTTTTCTTTCTGTAGCTGCTTGTCATCACCAAAGAGGCATTACAAGTGTTGTGTTTTGGGATGCAGCAACGAGCATAGGAGTCTTTATAGACTCCATCCATCTGAGCCACTGAATAAGTCCTTTATGTTTGTGCCAATCATTGTATGCCGGACTGCCTCACAAACAAGGGTCAGTTCAACGCTGGATTTTCACAAAGGTCTATTCTGAAAGAGGGATCAATACCAATGCTTTGTGCGTGAATGTCATCTCCAGACAAAGTATCATGTGTCATATTTTGATTTCCAAGTTGTCTTTCTGAAAGAGCTTCTTGGCACATTGTAAGGGTAATGTTGCTAAAGCTACAATTGTCTCTGCCTGTTTTCACTGATGCTGCCTTCACATGCTACCAGAATGATCATAATAGGAATGTGGCACATGAAAGCAATGTGAAGTAATGGTAATTGCACATGAAAGCAATGTGAAGTCAACCACTTAATAGTTTCTGACATTTTCAGTGCGTGAGATTGTCCTGTTTTGTTCTTGCCGGTATGCCGGAGCATGAGCTCTTGAAGCTCTGCCCTCTTCTGAAAGGTGTCGGCAGTACCAGCTCATTTGCATTTAACACCGCGTGTTTTGGCTCATACCCTAAAAGTGGCAAATTTAACAAGCTATGAAAGATGATCTATGGGGTATTTTGAGCTAAAACTTCACATACACACTCTAGGGACATCAGAGACATATTTATTTATTTTGTAAAAAGGGGCATAATAGTTCACCTTTCATTCTATTTTTAAAATGCAACGTACTGTAATAATCTATAAGCATATTTAACAAACGGTCGAAGACGAATAATTGCAAAGTGTTTACGAGCAATTTGGTATGGCCTGTAGATACAGTATGTTGTTCCATGAGCCATCTGTTGGATATTCTGTGAAGCACAACACTTTTTTTAAATTCTAAAAAAATGTGCTGCAGGATTCAGCGGCATTCCGTGGGATGAATTGCGGCATGCCGTGGGGAAAAAAACGCACATTCTTAATGGCCACATCTGTAAAATGGGTAATATACATCGGAGGTAATAGGGCAATGTCTATGGAAACATATTAAACCTTAAAATTGCTGTAAAATACATAATTTACAGTTCAGATACAGGTTTTCACAAAAACAAACCGTTTTAGGAAATGAAAAATTTAACATTTCAGCCTTTAAACCTTTTTTAGGAAAAGGGATGAGTCAAAAGTATCAATTATTATTAATTTAAACAATTATCAAACAATTATATTATTTTAGTAACACATAAATATATCTTATTGGCTTAATTGTTTAGGTTTTTACAATGTATTAGCTTCTTGTCAATCCACTAGTTCATATTTACAACTGCGTGTTTTCTGCGTAAAAATAAGGGTTGACTTTTGCTTTGGTCTGAACAAAAACAACTGAAAGGCTTATTGAAAAATGCTAATTCATATAGCGGTTTCCTCTGTAACTGCAGTAAACAAAGCAGCACACCACCAGACTTTGAAACATGCAGCACTCGTATTTAATCGAATAAACTATAGTCTTTTGAAGTTTAATCATAAAGCTATATTCTAAATTCTTATCATTATGTCCCCAAATTTAAGATCTCTTAAAATTACAATTAAGACTTTGTTGTACCTTTTAATACTTTTTATGGCCTTAAATCTGATACATATCTCTTAGGGATCCCTTAGTGATGAAGATCCTCCTTCTGTGCCTCCACTGTGCGATTGTGCCATTGTGATTTAATGTGCTGAGTATCGTCCTTTTTCCCACCGTGTCCGATATTAAAATCAGTGTGACAAACTTTGCAAAATGTGTGGGCATTGTCGATATGGCTTTCGAGTTATGAAATTCAATTCTTTTATTCAGCTGTTGATATGTAGGCCTAAATTAATTTTTTTCTGCCAAAGCACCACGCGGGTCTTCTCCCATTTCTACCACAGCCGTGCCTGCTACCTGCGCGGATATCAACAGTGCAAATTGCTAAGGTGGAAATCACAAACAGTGCAAATTGCTAGGTTGAAGTCACAAATGGGTTAAAATTTGTATGTGTCGATTGTGTGAGTAGGATGCGTTTCATACAAGATCTGGCAACTGGACAACCTTGGTATAATATATTGACATTATTATTCATATTACGAGTTATGGGTCATACAAATTACAGGAAAAACAGGAGTGTTGACATGTATGAACAGTACATAACATGGGGGATAAAACTGATGCAAGAGTGGAGTCGCGTCATAAAAAGTAGCTTATAGCTTCTTTTCCACCGAAATTACCTGGAACAGTTTGTCCCAGGAACTTTTTTCCCCCAGACCTGTTGCTGTCTGCGTTTCCATCGCGGTCTAAAGTACCGTGAAGAATAGGCAAATAGTCTGGTGATGTAGGTCTGTGCGTGTTTCTTAATACCAAGTATGCAAATTTCGGACTTGCATCCTCGGTAGTTCGGACTTTACGAGTTCAACTCGGGAGTGTGAACTCCCGTGGACGGGACGACGCAAGTCCGGTTATTCTGCAAACAGCAGCGTACTTGATAACGTCAGTCAGCTCGCCTTGGCTACTGCAATTTTCCTCACTGTATTTACAGTAAGACGAAATATGATATCAAACACCACTGCCTCCTTTTGTTTTCATTTAAACATATTAACAGCTGCAGAAATGTAGTTCAGGGAATGTATATAGCCTACATTACAATGAAACGAAATATTATATCAAACAGTATTGCCTCTTTTTATTTAAATTTTAACATATTAATAGATTAATAGAATAAAGACCAAAGATTACCTGTTAGATTTACCCAAAACAAATTATATCTTATGTTTAACCACTACAGAGACATCAGAGCCAGCGGCAAATGTTAGATGGACTAGCTGAGTTGAGGCTGCTCTCGTTGGGAAACATGAGTATTGAGCGCCCGCTGATCGCGTGGAGCTCACGTCTCCGAAATCGATAAAACACATTTTTAAATAGGCGCTGACTTTATAAATAAACCCCAGATTTGAGTTTTAAACAACTACATTCTCGCCTGAAATACTTTTAAAACTACATTTCATGACACAATAACAGTAATATTTTTTAAATTATCAGAATAAATGGTGGTTGAAATACAATGCTGCGTGAACTCAACCAGTCAGCATGTTTAGCGCCCAAGTCCCGCCCCCAAAAGTTACGGACCTTTGAAAAAGCACTACCTCGCGAGCAGGAACTTTCTGAGGGCATTTTTTCACTCTGAATTTTTTTTAGATCCTGGTTCCTGCGGTGGAAACACACTGAGTACCGGCCCAAAGTCCCTAGTTCCTGGGTAATGTTCCTGCGGTGGAAACGGGGCTTATTTCATTCTCAGTGGCAAAAAATAATAAATTATTACAACAGATTGTAGCCATTCTGACATTTTTCGCAGCATACAAACGATTACATAAGATTATACATAACCATTACTTGGTTATTAGCAGGCTACAGTAGGCCCATTCAATGTCATAGAACCAGTCACAAACTATATCACTACGATATGCTACTCCCATATCATGCCTAGAACATCTCAAAATTTCACTTACAAAAAAGTTTTTATGAGTTTGAAGTTTGATGTATGAAAAAAAAAATTGGTGCAAAAGCACAAACAGAAATATTACAAAGGGCAGTGTACACAGCAAAATCTCTAGTTTTAAATGAACACTGCTCTGTGTTTATATGAGCCCATCCCTCAAAAAAAAAAAAAAAACCTGAGCTTTGTTGGCGTTCATGAAAAAAGTGATGACTGGCCATTAGTGGTGATGCCTGCTGTTAACAAGCAGAATCACTGAAGGACAAGTGTAACAACAAAAACAGAAAAAAAGAGGAGAGAACAAACATTTTTCATTTGAAGTCACCATTGTGGTGATTAGTGTGGACACATGATCATTGACTTTTGTTAAATTATGTATTTTTCAACAACTGCAATAGTGTTGTTACAGAACATGTTGTTGTATATACAGTATGTTGTTACAGAAAGAGATGGAAGGAGAAACAGGTCAGCTGAAGGTAAATGTTTATGACATTTGAATGAAAATCAAGCAATATTGAACACCCTGATTAGCTGGTTCAGGTGTGTTTGATTGAGTTTGGAGCTGAACTCTGCAGTATGGTAGCTCTTTTTCAGTTTTGCAGAAGTGTATATAGAGGCACATATTTCCAATAAGATTATGTTGGGATTAGACTTTGGATGAAATCTGTGATTTAAGCATCTGTATGATTATAATGAATAAGTAGCCAACATGATCTCATTTCAACTTACTTTGTCTTCCTTTGCCAAAATAAATATGCTTTATACACATACTGTTGTAGTAGGCCAGTAGTTTTTAAACCAATACTGGAGCACCCCTGTCACTGCACATTTTGTCTCCCTTATCTGACACAGCTAAAGAGCTGGTGAGTTGCATCAAGTGTGTTAGATGAGGAAGACATCCTAGACATCCTAAATGTTTCTCCATGACAAGTTTGAAAACAACTACAGTAGGCAAAAAATGTAAAAGAAGTCAAGGGTTAAGTGGCAAACTAAAGCAAGCCCTAACTAGCAAAATACTGTGTTGACATAAGTCAGTATGTATGTTAACATTAACATGAGTGTTATGAGTCGTAGCCCGGCATACGCCAATGTGTGAACACTCATAGACAATTTTGAGTTAGATGGATCTCTTAAGCTGTGCAACCAGCTTAAAAACTCCAACAAGAGGAACTCCAGTGGACATATATAATTAACTGCATCTGTGTGTGGGTAATTCTGCAGCTACATTAGATATCAGTTACCTGGCCTGCAGGCTGTATGGAATGATCACGTGGGCCGGCTGCATTTCATAGGCCATATGTTTTGCACCCCTGTTATATTTTATGTTGCATATTTCTAATTTGAAGCATACTAACATGAACAACTTCTGTTGTTGTAGATTATCTGACTGTATGGTGACTGAAGAAGGTTGTGCTGCTCTGGAATCAACTTTGCGTTCAAACCCCTCACATCTGAGAGAGCTGGATCTGGTCTACAAGTATGTTGAGCAGTAGTAGCAATCATTATGTCTGCTTTGTATGTGAGTCTTCCGTTGCTTTTGTTGTTGTCGAGAGATACTTATTTTGTTCTCACGACATTTTTTTTAAGCAATTACTAAAGTGTAATTATAAAATGGTTAGTTCTAGTCCTTGATTCTGATTGGTCATAGCTGTGTTTTATTCACAACAAAGCATGGTTATGACTGCTTCATTCATTGCACAACTTAGCAACCACCCTTAACAGCATAAACAATCAATATAGCATCAGAATTCATCCATTTCAGCAAAATTAACTGTATATTATTTATGTAATGAATTATGAGTAGGGATGCACTGATGTATTGGCCGATAATTGGTATCAGCTGATAAAAGCAATTATCTGCACTATCGGCTATCGATTGATTAAAAACAGCCAATGATAAGGGTTAGTGTTGCCAGCCGGTCCTAGAATACATAGTATTTTAAGGTATTTTGCCCCGTATTAGCAGACAAATGTCATATGACCACCTAGACCATACAAATAACAAACTCTAAATTGATCATTAAATGCTATTTTGGGGCAAATTATTGTTATATTTGTGAATCTAGCCATTCAATGAAGGCTTTAAGGGTCTATTTGCCCCCATGAACCACCCATAGTTTAAGCCAGGGTTGGCAGGTCTGTGATTTTCCCTTCACAAAACATTATTTGCAATGTGCCTCCAATCAAAATATCATAAAGAGCTTGTGCTTTGTTACTTTTAATAGGAAACAAAGTCCATTAAAAGTTTTACCACAAAATTCAAACAATAAATGCCATTTTGATGTACTTAAATATGGTGTGACAGATCGCTGTAGCGGCTTCAGTTCAATCGGCAGCATGGAGCACGTGTCTCTTCCACATTAAAATCAGAAAGAGACTGAAGTTGCAATTGTCTTTTTCTTCCCTATTGTGATGTATATCTGAGTGAAATGGCTTGTAGAATGAGCAAAATTGTAGGGTGGCTTTTGAATTTACCCTTCGCAGGGAATTTGATTGACAGTCGATCTGACCAATCATAATGCTGAATTTGCCATTTTATCTGACAAACAAACCAAACTGGAGAGTTATGCTACGTTTGAGATGAAGTTGGATGTGGGAACATTGTTGGAATGTCCCATTTCCAACCTCAACGATTTTCAGTCAGTCACATGTCAAGTTAACATATTGACCTCATGATGTTACCATGGCACAAAGAGAACATTTCGTGTTTTTGTTATTTTTCTAAGTTTGACATAAGGTGGCTTCACACTATGCTCGTTGGAAGCAGTGATGGAAAATTACGTGTCTCACTGAGGTCAGGATTGATCGATCTACCCCCAGTTCACAGGTCAGATGTCCGGCTTCAAGCAGTGTTTTAGACATTATTTCCAAGTAGGAGGTGGAAAAAATAAGAATTTCGAGTTGTCTGAAATGCAGCATTAGATTAATGTCAGTGGAGCATGGTGTATTGACTTATTTCTGCGGTTGAGACAACATAACTCTGATGTTCACTCATGTTTTTTGTGCTATAACTAGTAGTAAAGAGGAAGAGATGATCAGTTCAGCTTAAACTAAGACAAGTGCGTTCTCATGCCACACAACATCACGCAGTGAAAAATACATTGTGGAGCAAAGAGGACACAGACAACGTGCTGACAGACAAGACAGAGCAGAGCAAATTACTTTTGGTATGAAACAAAGTCTCAGCATTCTCTTTGAATATTAAAGTATCTCCACTTTCTGTCATGATAATCGCCTTTAAGCTTACTTTTAGAACACTAAATTTTTTTATCATCAGAAGAACAATATTTCACCTTATACACTGATTACAAACTTATTTTCCACTTAACAATATCTTTTTGTGTGTGTGATTTGAAAAAAAGGGAAAAAAGATAAATCATATCAGAGGTAAAAAAAAAATTACAACCTTTGCAATGCCACTGAAAACCAAAGTAAAACAATTCAAATAAGTAAATAAATACATAAGCTATTTTAACAGGGGTGATACTATGTAAAATCCACTTTAAATAGGCTATCTGTCATAGCTTGTATATTTAAACAGTTTTATTTATTTGAACTGCTTATAATGCAGGCCAAAAATTTTCACCAAAATGATGATGATGATGATGATAATAAAAGCTGCAAGCAGTGATGAAAGGGCCACCCCCATCAGTGGCCTCAGCAAAAGAGCGAGCAGTGGGCAATATGCATTTAAGCAGGTAAATGTAGGAGTACCAAGTCAGTCATTTATAATCTGCCACACTATTACTATAACTGAATATTGTCTTTTACACATATGAAAGGGGTCATATGATGCTATTTTAAAGATCATTATTTTGTGTATTTGGTGTAACCGAATATGTTGACAAGCTTTAATGTTCAAAAAACACATTATTTTTCAAATACTGTACATTATTGTAGGTCCTCTATGCCCCGCCTCTCTCAAACGCGTCATTTTCTACTAAGCCACTCCTTTCTACAAGCACAGTCTGCTCTGATTGGCCAGCTGACCCAGTGCATTGTGCTTGGCCAAACACCACAAGCATGCTTCGGAACAGTACATAATGTCCTTAGTTTTACCATAAGTTCAAGCCCGAAGGGGAACAGAGTCGCGTGACAGACACAGTGATGGTGCTCGTATGTATTTGCAGTACACAAGCCGCGGTTAAGAAAGCTGACTCCACTGTGATGTGACCCTGTCTCTCTCTCTCACGCACACACACACATGACGCGATACTCTACATGGTGCAAAACTACACATTTGAACAGTCAATAGCAAATACTTAAACTA